ATGCATATGGTTCGTGTAACGTATCCCCAGACAGCCTGGATCTGAGTGCATGTTTTCACCGAATAGCGCTCAGATCTGATGTATCTAGTCGAATCGCCATGGAGTCAAAGTCTTTCACCAGTCCTTCGGTATACGAATGACTCCATGGGATGGCTGTCTGGGTGAAAGTCTATACGAATGAATAAAAACTCCCGAACGACCGACGTTCGCATGCCTTGTCGAAATGGAAGGTAGGCAGCAGCTTCCAGCGGTGCTCTCCTCCATCTTCCCCGACCTGGCTCAGCACAGCCCCCAGTCCATACATGGAAGCATCTGTATGGACGAGAAAATGTTTGTTAGGGACTGGGGCAGCCAGGACAGGGGCATTCACAAGAGCTTGTTTGAGTGCTTGGAACGCAGCTTCACAAGCTGGAGACCACAGGACCTGCTTAGGAAGATTTTTCTTTGTCAGGTCAGTCAGGGGTTTAGCAATAGTGCTGTAGTCGGGGACAAAGCGTCTATAGTACCCTGCTGTCCCTAGGAAGGCTAACACCTGGGTCTTGGTGATAGGTGTGGGCCAGTTAGCAACTGCCTCTATCTTGGCTGGCTCTGGCCTCTGGCTCCCACACCCTACTCTGTGACCCAGGTACTGCACTTCAGCCATGCCTAAATGGCACTTCTCTGGCTTCAATGTCAGGCCAGCGGCCCGAATCTTGTCCAGTACTACCCCTACATGTACTAGGTGTTCTTCCCAGGACTCACTGTAGATCGCAATGTCATCCAGGTATGCACAAGCAAATTCCTGGAATCCATCAAGAAGTCTATCCACCATACGCTGGAAGGTAGCCGGGGCATTCTTCATCCCAAATGGCATGACCTTAAATTGGTACAGGCCAAATGGGGTGACGAAGGCCGACTTGGGGATAGCATCCTCGGCCAGGGGAATCTGCCAGTAGCCTTTGCACAGGTCTATGGTGGTCAGATAGCGTCCCCTGGCAATGCGATCTAACAATTCGTCTACCCGGGGCATCGGGTAGGCGTCAGTGGTGGTCCGCTCATTGAGACGCCTGTAGTCCACACAGAACCGGGTGGTCCCATCCTTCTTGGGCACCAGGACTACAGGTGAGGCCCAAGGGCTATCGGAGTGTTCGATGACCCCCAGCTGGGTCATCTCCTGTATCTCCTTCCGCATTCCTTCCCGGACTGCTTCAGGGATACGGTAAGGGGGTTGTCGCAGGGGGTTCTGTCCAGGGGTTTCTACCTTGTGTACAGCTAGGGTAGTGTAACCAGGTTCTTGGGAGAAGGTCGCCTGCTTTTCCCACAGAAGCTGTCTTGCCTGGCCCTTCTCGGTAGAGCTCAATCTGTCCCCTAGCTGTACTAGGCTAGTAAGATCCGTCTGGGGGTCCCTCTCTAACAGGTCTGGCAAGGGTAAACTTTCTGTATCATCTGCAGCAGGGGCACATACTGCAGCGACATTCTCTGGTCTCTCTTGATACTCCTTTAGCATGTTCACATGGAAGGATCGCTGGATCCTTTCATCTGAACAGCTGGCTATAAGGTAGGTAGTATCACATATCTGTGCTAACACCTTATACGGGCCCTGCCAAGATGCCTGCATCTTGTTCGCCTTCACAGGTTTGAGTACTAACACTTTCTGCCCAACCTGGAAGACTCGCTGTCGGGCACCCCGATCGTACCACCTCTTCTGTCTCCCCTGAGCCACCTGGAGATTCTCCCTTACCATTAGGGACAGTTTCTCCATGCGGTCCCGGAGTTCCAGAACATATGGTACTATGGGGGTCCCTTCCTGCTCTGTCTCCCCCTCCCAGTGGCCTCTAATGAGATCTAGGGGTCCGCGGACCCTTCTCCCATATAGCAACTCAAAGGGGGAGAACCCAGTAGATTCCTGAGGCACCTCTCTGTAGGCAAACAACAGATGAGGCAGGAATCGCTCCCAGTCTCTGCAAGTGTCAGAAAAGGTCCTCAGCATCTGTTTGAGGGTGCCATTAAATCGCTCGCAGAGACCGTTAGTCTGTGGATGGTAAGGTGAGCTAAGCAGCGGTTTAATGCCGCACACCTTCCACAGTTGCTGGGTGAGCACAGCAGTGAATTGGGTTCCCTGGTCAGAGAGAATCTCTTGAGGGAACCCGACTCTGGTGAAAATCCTAACCAGGGCATCAGCAACTGTCTCTGCCTCTATATTAGACAGCGCTACTGCCTCTGGATAGCGAGTGGCATAATCCACCACGGTGAGAATATATTTCTTACCGGATGGACTAGCCCTGGCCAGTGGACCCACAATGTCAACGGCTATGCGGGCAAAGGGCTCCCCAATGATAGGCATAGACATAAGCCTAGCTCTTGGGTGGTCCCCCCGCTTTCCTATCCGTTGACATGTGTCACACGTACTGCAGTATGTCCGAACAGCCTGATTAAAGTTTGGACAAAAAAAGTTCTGCATGATCCTATAGGCTGTGCGGCGGGAACCTAGATATCCAGCTAACGGAACATCATGCCCTATCCGCAGAATCTCCTGCCGGTATTTTGCGGGCACCACCAGCTGTCGATTCGGCGGAGGGGCAACACTCTTCGGGGAAAGCTTGGGGATCCTATACAACCTGTCCCCCACCCACTCATACCGTTCCCCATCTAATCCTTCCTCTCCAGTATCTGCTCTGTCCCTATACTTCTGGAGGGTCGAATCTGTCTGAGTTTCCCTCCCAAACTCCTCTGGGGAATCCCAGTTAACAAAAGTCGGTTCTAGGGTACCAGTCGGGGACTCGGTTCTTACCTGGGTCTCAGCAGCAGGTGGGCTGGTTCCAGCAGCACGGGTCTGGGCACGGGTAGTCACTGGGTTGATAGCGGCAGGTCCCATTGGAGCATAAGCGGACACCAAAGGGGCCAAGTCATTCCCAAGCAAAACATCGGCCGGTAAGTCTTTCATGACCCCCACATTCACGTGTCCAGAGCCCACCCCCCAATCCAAGTGAACCCGGGCAACCGGTAAACGGAACACTGCACCTCCCGCCACCCTCACTGCCACAGTATCTCCAGTGTGTTGGTGTTCGGAAACAAGGTTCTTTTGGAGCAAAGTCATAGTGGCTCCGGTGTCTCTTAGACCAGTTACTGCTTTGCCATTTAGTTTAACGGTCTGCCTGTGCTGTTGACGGTTATCCTGCTGCGCTGCTTGTACTGGATCCGCCTCATGTAGTATACCCCAAAATTCCTCTTGCTCAAGACAGTGAGCGGAAGGTTGAGGTGGTTGCTGATTCCCGCCGGCTGGTCTTCTCCACGACTGGGCTTGGCTAGAATTGTTTAATGGGCACTCGGGTCTCTTGTGCCCCAACTGCTTACACCCATAGCAACGGATAGGTTGTGAGTAATCCCGGGCGTTGAACATAATTGTTCGCTGTTGGCATGGTGGGGGTGCGTTGTGCTGGGTGTTGATACACTGCAGAGGTTGGAGGGGCTGCTGGTTTGTACACCACTCGGGTAGGGACCTTGGCTGCTGTCTGGTCCAGTTTCCTGGCGTCAGTGTACTCATCAGCCAGACGAGCAGCTTCGGGTAAGGTAGCGGGTTTGCGGTCCCTAACCCACTCTCTGACTCCTGCAGGTAAGCGGTCAAAACAGTGCTCCAACAAAAATACTTGCAGCACTTCTTCCCCAGTTACCGCTTGGCACCCTGCCATCCAGTGGGCTGCTGTGCGGTGTACTCGGCATGCCCACTCAACATAAGAATCACCAGCCTGCTTGTTAGTGTCCCGGAATCGTCGCCGGTATGCCTCAGGGGTCACAGCGTATCTGGCCAAAAGGGCATCTTTCACTGCCCTGTAGCTGGTAAGTTCCTCCTCTGGGATGGCCCGAAACACCTCACTGGCCCGGCCGGATAACTTCCCAGAGAGGATGGGGACCCATTCTCCTGCGGGTACCTGGTGTAAGGCACATTGCCTTTCAAAATCAGCCAGGAACCCATCAATTTCTCCTTCGGCTTCCACAAAATTTCAAAATGCAGCAAAAGGTACTTTTCTCCTTCCATTATTATTATACGGTACCTCAGCTGCTGCAGCGCCTCTTCCTTGAAGCGCCTGTTGTGCTGCTACTGCTGCTTGCACTTGCACCACAATATCTGCTGCGGGGTTGGGGCCAAAATGTGCCAGCCTGATCTGAACTGCCCGGTTAAACTGTATCTCCTCGGGTGTTAACTCCAGTATGCCATGCACATCAGCTCTTCCCGTTCCCTGTGCTGCATCCATTTCCAATAGTATAGAAATAATCTCTCTTTTCTTGAGATTACTCGCTGATCGTCCTCTGCGTTCCAATATATCTTTAAGGGTAGCACGCCTTAACTCTTCATACTGCATTTCCAACCTGGGATGTGTAGCTGGCCTTCTGGGCGGTAGGATTCATCCCGTCGCTTGCCACCAATTGTTACGACACGTACCGTCGGGTAGATGAAGCCGCCGTTTAGTCAATAATCCCCTTCTCCAGAAATGCAGTTTAAATCCAGCCGACCGCCAAACTCCCGAACGAAGTCCACGAACACGGCAACTCCCGATCAGCAAAACAGTCGAACGCCTTCCACAGCTAAAAATAACGAAAGCGCTGTCCCAGTAATAATTCCCCCCACAAACGAGACCAAGCTCCGTCTTGAGGGTCAAATGAAGATCTGTTTAATGGGGGCTACCTGCCCGGTATTTATGCAGGTCTCCACAAGGTGGACACTCCCCGAGGGGACCTTGTGGAAGACTGTAAGACATAGTGGACAGTAGCCAATCGCAGTGGCTTCAATAATAGCCCTTCCCATCTTGCCCATAATTCCGTCTTCTCTACCTCGGAGATAATTAGGAAGAAACCTAATTATCTCCCAAGGTAGAGACAATCGCCATTTTAACTTACAATAATAAAAATACATTAAAATACATAACTGCAGAAATACCGAATGCATATGGTTCGTGTAACGTATCCCCAGACAGCCTGGATCTGAGTGCATGTTTTCACCGAATAGCGCTCAGATCTGATGTATCTAGTCGAATCGCCATGGAGTCAAAGTCTTTCACCAGTCCTTCGGTATACGAATGACTCCATGGGATGGCTGTCTGGGTGAAAGTCCATACGAATGAATAAAAACTCCCGAACGACCGACGTTCGCATGCCTTGTCGAAATGGAAGGTAGGCAGCAGCTTCCAGCGGTGTTCGGTAGTTTAAGTGTCCGTTTTTAGTTCCATACAGTTTGTACCGAACACCGCTATGTGTTCGTATGTCCCAAAATGGCCGCTGCCTCGTGGTCGACATGCGAACGACGACCACCCGTACGAATGGAATGGAGAGGTGTCTGCGGTTAACCACAACGTTCTAATTGGGGCCAAGAGGTTAACCAGCAGCACACTCCTCTCCTGGGTGGTCGTTCGTTCGGTAGTTTCAATCGGTAGTTTGCAAATTCCATGAACGGGGTTATGTGAACAGGCAATTCAGCGAACAAAGGGAAATAGATGAACCAGCAATACAGACGAATCTGTCACAGGCGGCAATTTGATTAGTGGGACCAGATGGGTCATCTTAGAGAATCTGTCGATTATATTCAATATAACTCTATGATTCTTGGAGGGAGGCAGGTCCACTACAAAATCCATGGCAATACTCGACCAGGGTTTATCGTGAATGGGCAATGTCAAGAAGAGGCCCAAAGGACGACCTTTGAGTGATTTAGTGGAGGCACAGACCCTACAAGCGAGAACGAACTCGCGAACGTCCTTCTTGTATGAAGGCCACTAGAATTTTTTTTTTTATGTAAAGACTCAGTTTTGTGAATACCCGGATGCCCTGCCAATTTTGAGTTGTGTACAAGGGATAAGACCTTTTTCCTATAAGCCAAGGGTATGTATAATTTTCCCCAGGGAACTGTTAATGAGGTATGATCCTGGAACTTTGATAATTCCTCCATTAACCCCGAAGAGATTTTGGCATGGACAGTGGCAACTATGTGGTTGGATGGGATTATGGAAGAAAAATGAGTTACGGGAGGTGATATCTGTTCGTGTTGATAGGATAAAGCGTCAGCCCTAGTGTAATGTCACGACAGTGATCCCTTCACACAGCATGAAACCCAGAGGAAGACGTTTACCGGACCTTAGAGTGGCCGGATTAGCGTCTGAGAATAGTTAAAGGAATAGCCGGAGGTCAAGGGATTACAGAAGACGGGCACACGATGATCCAAGCCAAGTAACGGGAAACCAGAGAACAGAATAGTCGAAGGGATAGCCAAGGGTCAAATACCAAAAAGAAAGTCAGTAGTAAAGAGCACTAGGGGACTTCAAACAAGAACCACACTAGGGCACCTGACAAGTGTCAAGGTAGCCCTTATATAGTGTGGGATCTTTTACTTTAAAGCCACGCCCCCAAAAGGTCCAGGAGCATGGCCACGTTTGAATTCTGGCAGCACTTTTCTTCTGACATTGGCACGCATGACTATGCCGCCTTCCAGAAGCATGGGAGGTGAACTCCGCACTGCGCGGGACCGGCGGGGAAAGGTAAGTGATCGTTACACCCAGTAGCTCAAGTTAAACATGTTTATTAGATCAAATGTTACTTTTAATGGGGTTTTCTCTCACTTGTATATTGTCAAGAAGTCAAAGTAAATTTCAAATTTTAGGTCATAATAGTCAAAATGAAACCAGCTGACTTGAAGAATTGTTTGCCTATTTTGACCCTAAATTTCAGTTCCTGATAATTAGTGATGTACCGAACGGTTCGCCGGCGAACATAGCATGTTCACGTTCGCCACAGCGGGCGAACATATGCGCGGTTCTACCCGCCCCCTATTCGTCATCATTGAGTAAACTTTGACCCTGTACCTCACAGTCAGCAGACACATTCCAGCCAATTAGCAGCCCACCCTCCCTAGCAGACCCTCCCACCTCCTGGAAGGCATCCATTTTAGATTCATTCTCAAGCTGCATGCTTAGTAAGAGGAGGGAAAGTGTAGCTGCTGTTCATAAGATAGGGGAAAGCATAGCTAGGTTAGGGATAAGGGTATGCTTTTTTTTTATTTTATTTTTCTATGTAATGTAAATGCACTTAGTTGTCTGCCACTGCTGCCAGCTTCTGTGTCAGGCTCACAGTGCCCACTTCCCCAGTCAGTGCCACCAATTACATCTGGTGTCACAATAGCTTGGATTTAAAAACAAAAAACTTTTTTCACTGTTATAGGATTGAATAGCAGTCAGTGTCCTTAAAGTGGGTGTGTTAAGCTCACAGTGGATACGGTGCCCAGTGCCACCACTCACTCATATCTGGTGTCACAATAGCTTGCATTTAAAAACAAAAAACTTTTTTCACT